TGGAAGAGTAGACAAATAGGTTCTGTATAGTATAATAATTGCATTGATTCGATGATGAGTTGAGTGTCTAAATTCCCTTAAGGGATTTGATAACAAACACGACCTCTTAAAAAGTCGGCTATCCTGCTATCACCCCCGGACACATTCCCACGATCACGAAATAACTCAGTACGATTGATCGCATATTAAAGAGAGGATCAGAGATAGCGAGTAGCTTTGAATAGTTATTTAGCTCAAATCCTTCTTTGTTATGCCTGTCTTCTATCAAATTCCCAAAAGTCAGGATATGTGAGTTCGTTGATTTTTTGAAACAAAAGAGCATTTGATTACTATGAGGAATTCACACATTTTGCACTTTGAATTATCGTCAGGTGATATGAGATGTTAAATGATGTAATGAAGATATCACTGAAATACACCGTCTTGGATTGACGTTTTTACGATTGAATATCAAATAGGTAAGCAAGTATGGATATACACTGTATCATCGGGCTATCATCAACTTTTCACGCTCGTTATGAAAGGCAATTGGGAGATTAAACACATTTTAAGAGAACTTGTATTTGAACGTCAGATATCACTTCTCTCCTTTCAATTGTTGATCTCGAACCAGTTTTGCTGCTTGAAACACAACCTTATTTATGTCGCAATTTGTTATTTGTGGCTCTTCAAATATATTATATTAAGGAAGAGGTGTATGTCATTGAAAATGATCCAGGTGTTGAAATCGATGATGATATTAAGTCGACACATGAGCCAATTAATGAATTGCTTTCAAATGTCTATAAAGAGTCTCTGACGTACAACAGGTTTTGTAAAGCCAGTTATCTACACACAGTAGAGGTCGCAACGGTAGTGAAAACCAGTACCGGTAACCGTCACCCTAATAACCGTACCGTTACCGAAATACCGGTAAAAATATGTAAGATAAAATGCCAATGCGCTGCCACCCCCACTTTGTTCCTAATATAATAGTATGTAACTATCTTACGAATCAAGATGTATTTTTAGTTTTAAATTAAATGTATTACACATTTCAAACCATTTCTCAACTGTATCAATAATGAGTTATCCCGTCCCCACGTTATAGCAACCCTCCTACATCCGAGTTACAAAAAGATGACAAAAATATATGTCTGTTTCCTGCTCCATGTATTTTCAGATTAGGGTAGGTAGGTAGGAGGATTATTTTATTTTTCGTTAAAATTTTACTCAATTATTTTTAGGGTAGGTCAGTCAGAAAAATATTTTATCTTATGTTCTTTGTCATCTCTTCATTTTGTCATTTGCTCTTAACTGCCATGAGACCTTAATTCATCATGCAGTCTATAGTCTAATCATTTGTACCATACTTACTTAAAACCTTCAGATATTGAACTAATTAATAAACAACTTGGTCAGGGTTCGAACTTAACTTTCTCGCCTGGTATTGAAAATTGTTACGTGAGATTTTTTCTAGGTAACTTAATACCAAAGTAAGGTAGTTGTTATTATCGCTTGAAATTGTTATTATCGCGATAAAACAAAGTTTTCCTTGACACTAGGCCTATATAATAATAAACAAGTCTATTGATCTGTTGATCTATTATCAATTTTATTCCATCATAACATTCGAAACTTCTGGATAAAGGCCTTCATGAACATCAAATATCAGTATATTTAGCACTGGATCAGGGTATGAGAAATATGGACACCTGGGCCTGATGTGAGTAAAACATTTCAGAAGGAAATGTATTGTTTCAATCGAGTAGGGCCAGAGATAGAATATTTTATTTTTTCAGTGTACTAAAAAATGTCTTAGGGCCGGGGGCTCAAACTAGGGTCGTCGGGGTTCCGGAAACGGACATATATTTTTGTTTGGCCTTAAAGTGCTCTTATGGCCAACGTATGTTAATATATATTTCGTTTATATTTAAATTTAAAAATTAAAACTTACGAAAGGCACGGGAGTTCAGATTGTTTTATTTATTTGTTTGCTAAAACACTTTAGCAGAGAGCTTCTATTTTATTTTGTTCACAATTAAAAGCTCAGATACTATCACAAAATATTAAAGTTACAAAATATAATACGAAATGTAGGCTATATTAATTCAACTTATTGTCAATGCCTTGTCATTCGTAAATGACTATTACAAACATAATTCAGTTTCTGGATCTGACGTTGACACTACAACTTCACCGGAACTGCCAAACATAACTACAACCAAATCTGAGCATGAGCATGAAGCTACTACGCCCGAACTGCCAAACATGGACATCACACCTGAACTGCCAAACATGGAAATCACACCTGAACTGTCTATGTTAATGTACGCATCGTGAAAGTGGAAATAAACGAAATAATTAAAAAACGACGTGTCTTTTATTCCCCCGGGGATTATCGTCGGTTAACCGGTTAATAATTTCAATACCGGTAAATGCTCAATTCCGTACCGAAACCGTATAACCGGAATTACCGTCAGCCTCTAACACACAGATGCTTATGAATACAACAGTAAGCGGCTTATGTCTTTATTAAATATATTGCTGTTTTTGCGGAGTATGTTAAGTAGCCTATCTTAAGCTAGAACTTGTCTCAGCTTATCAATAGGATAATAAGTCTAAGGATATTGATTGACGTTCCAATTTGACTCATTGATCAACTTAGCACTGCACATAAACGTTCACAGGTCAACATAAATTTAGTTTGCTTACCTATAGATCATTCCTCATAGTAACACTACTCTACATACGTTTAGCAACATTGGATACCATAGCAGAGAAGTCTATATATCAATGTTAAATGTTTATTTTGTTCCTTAAAACAAATCTTGGGAGATATGTCTCTGAAGAGTTTTCAAGAAGCCGGACATAAACGGGCTTTAATCCTGGTACGCGATCTAAAAGAGGTTTTAGCCGTAATACTTACGGAAGGGAGTGTATCACATACTCTATTTGCTTATAGTTAAGTAATATTGGACATTTCAAAGAAAATCGGTGTTTTCACAATTTGTACTGTAACGATATGCCGTTTGTCTGGGGGAATCCAACATACCATTGCTATAAAATTATACTGTAACGATATTTCTAAATTTGTCTGGAAGAGTACAAAATGACATTACTACAAAGTGCCTTCATAAATAAGTTTCAGGAAAGATAACGAATCTGAAGAAGGTGATATTTTACAAGAAACCATACTGGTGAATTATGCTCAGATAATTACAGAATATCCAAAATGTCACCCGAAACTTGAATAATATATATGGGCAAATTTACGATAATTGATATTTTCAAAATCAAAGCCTTCGTCGTGTGTGTTGATAACAGCGACACGACGGGAGGTAGCTAAACTGAACTAAATTAAACGTTATCGCGTATTAGTGAAAGAAAAATATCAATTCAATTAAGTATTTAAATGATTGTTATATAAAATCTCAATTTCTTTAGTAAATTGAATATGTTGAGCATGTGTTGAAGGATACAAAACATATGGAAATCATAAAACCTGTTATTTTTTGATGAGTACTACATATCTACAACTTTGAGAGATGGTCGGAAACATATTTTATTGAACATTTCGAAATTATCGACGGATTTGATGCATATTTTCTTATGTTGTCCGAGTTTCCATAGCAAAATTTGATTTTTTGTCAAAAAAATCACCATTAAAGTTGTTTTTAAGAAATAATAAGCGATATGTTTAGTATATATCGCATTGTCATGGTAAACAGTTGTGTTGACATCACGATAGCACACATATAATGTCGTTTATATCAATACACTTGGCGCAGGATGTGGTAGAATAGTAGAACTCATGGACTTCAAAAAATATCAATTATCGTAAATTTCCCCATATCGGGTCAATTTCTAACTATTACTTATGATTGCATATGTTTAGTAAAATATATGATTATCTGTTCGATGAATGGACATCCATTCCGCTTTTCATGCATAAACGCTATCTAGAATCGACCCAACTAGATTTGTATAATGAGTAATAAAGATATTAAATTGAAATTTAATAAAAAAAACTCAATACGTTTTAGATGTAATTTCGTATGGAGACTTTAATATGGTATTATCGTATATATGATATATCGTAGGAATGTGGAGCTTATTTTCTGAACGAATTGTATAAAGCACATTCAAATCGGTTAAAATCAAAGACAAATATATTATGAGCAATGTCGCAAGGTACTATATCTAGTAGATGTCCCTTGTTCTTCAACTATATTTCCCACACAAAATTAATTTTTACCTCGCAGTTGGGAAATTATCGCAGTCAATATATGACTAGTATAGGCCTATACATTAATATTAGCGAACAATCGATTCGAAAGTGAAAAATTAACAATATATACATATTGCATGCTGTCTGCCGTGTATGAATCTGATTATAGTTGTTGTAACAGAACAATGTCATTTGATATACAATGATTTAAGAAAAGTAGCATGGTTGTGTGAATATGAATTTATTGTTGTACCCCATGCGATTGTAAATAACGATAAAACAAAAACACAAGCACTTAATGTAAATCAGTTCCTTAGTTTTACGTAACAGATACACAAACAGTGAAACATTTTTTCAGTCCGAGTCGCATAAACCATTCCGCATCGGCAGTTCCGGTAATAATAGGAAATTCTCTCATTTTGCCCAAGTCGATTGTAAATTACGTATAAAACTTAATGGTTGAAACCATTGTTTATGAATGTCTACTGTATATGATGGTTAATATTTGCATCACTTGTCGAATCCATATATGTGACGATCGGTGTGTTTGAGTTAAATGAATCACAACCAGCTATTCAGGAAAGAAGGTCGATACGTTAACGACTGCATTTAGTTTAACACGTATTTTATAACCATGGGTAAATGTTAAACATCGTGTGTCTCGAGCAATTCGAGATTATTAGTGATCCTTATTACTGAAGCTGATTAGATTAAAACTGTAGTTATAATAGTTGTCGATCCTATCGCTCCTCGCCTGACCTCCCAATTAACAGCGTTACTTTGCCGGGATCTATTTAGTAGCTCGAAAGCGAAGACATAATTGAATGCACTCGATGCACCCCATTAATCTATCTACACAAGTGTTACATTATTAGTCTTGGACTCAGCAAGGTTGCCGTTTTTTGTAGCGTCAGCTCGCGTTTTCGACATGCTAACTGCGGTAGTCTCTATCGAAGTGTTACTGTTACTAGAGCTGCAGCTACAAAGTCCTAGTCATAACAGCGACATTTTAGTGTCCCCCTTTGTCGAGCTATGGACAACAGTTTGAACGGTACTATTATCAGATAACTCCTTCGGCGGTTTACTGTTCACTGCATTATACCGTTGTCCTCTACGAAACCCCGGACAACACATACTAATGAATGTCTCTCGGAATCGTTTTCCCGTCAGACAATATATCAGGAAGTTAACCGATGAGTTTACTTTTAAAAGAAAGTTCCCAACTGCAAGAAGGTATCGCATAATTAATTGATCGGGTTTCGCAGCATTGTTTGTGTTCCAAAGAGTTACCATTACGTTGACAGTGTTGTAGGGCATGATACACAAAAGAAAGCTTGTGGCCACAATCACCAACGTAAAGGTGATGTTTTGTGCTTCCTTTTCGTTACCAGTCATTTGTTGCCTTCTCCGATGCGCGTCTTTCAAGGCAATTATCAAATTACCATTGAGGATGATCAAAACGAGCACTGGGCCCATATAGCGAAATATAGCATTTAAGCAAATCTGGTAGATGTACGTGTAGTAATTGTTCTTTCCAAAAGCCGTGTAGCCTAGTACGACCGTAGTTCCACAGGGGAACTGGACATTATTAGGTACATATTCCCAAAATCGGGGTACATTGTACATAAAGGATAGCCCTACCGTAACCACTACGGCCATCTTAGCGCGAGGCAGCGTGCAGAGTCTTGAGGCCGAGAGCGGGATGCAGACCTGTATGAATCGGTCAATTGTAACCAGGAGAACCATCCAGGTGGTAAGTGTTTGTGATGTAGAAATGACGGGGAGGATGTACGGCAGAGCTGATGTCATCTGGTTCGGCCACGCTGCAGTCTGTGGCACAAAATGCGTGGTGGTATACATTGCGTACATCGGGTCTATAAAAATCACTAGCATGAGAAACGACATATCTGAAATAGCTAGCGCACGGAGTAGGTATATACTTGTAGTTAAGTGTTTCTCTTTTGAAAGGATAACGATTGATAAAATATTTCCAGCAATTCCTAGCACACTTATTAACGTATCAAGCACGATAGTTATAGTAATCGTAAATATAACAAAGTTATGCGGAATTGCAAATAGATATGCAGGAACACACGGTTCCTTATTTCCAATCGTAATATTTGCATCAGTTGTCTTATTAATTGCATCGATACTGTACCCAGGGGTGTCATTGAAGGCGATCGTCCCTCCCGCTAATACCACTTCACTTTGGTTCATGATGAATACCGTCTCTTAATCTTCCAATGTGTACTTCGCACTCTAGTTCATGAAAAGTGCTTTCCTTTATTACTTAGCGAAAACCAGAAACCCGCCCTCGGCAAATTATGAGCTGTTCTTTAGCGTCTAATAAGCACTATGTCAATTTTGTTTTTTGTACTCTCATTCTACATCTGTGACCATTAGCAAGATTGAATGAATTCTTAGAACGCAGTTAATAACAGTCGCTTATGAACAATCTCCTTATATTATATTCACCTAGAAGATAAGTTAGTTGCAATAAATCCGAGTGGGTGTAAGAATAGATGATGACTACTATTTCTTCCGTCGATAGCACTTTATAGCACTTCCCCCATACTCACTTTTTTCTCAACAGTCTTGACTAATGGTACATTCTATAGTATACGCTCGTTTATATCCAAATGTTAATAAACTCTGATCTAGACTCGTACATATGCTCAACCATTTCTGATATTTGCAGGATTGATTCCTTCTGACATTTCAGTCGCCAGATATCTTCTCAACAATATACCTTAAATATCTGCAATACAAGTCCAGAATCCACAGAGCTGCTCCGAAACACCATCGACTCTTCAATTGCTTTATAAGCCCAGCTTTATCAAGTGTTATTTTATATAGCTGGCGGAGAATCCTTCCCGACCAATAGCAATCAGCCGCTCTGTTCAATACAGCCAAGCTTGGAAATAAATCACAACCTCGGTTGTGTGTATTTCATATCTGCTGTGTATTTAGCTTATTGACACATTGAGCGGATACCATCATAATATCCTTCCCAGATAACATAAACTATCTTACTATAAAGATATATAGAGGAAGATACATTCCTTTTAAGTTAGTAAACTGACTTCTCGTTAGATGGACGCCTGTTTATATTTGAACCTGAATCTCTCCAGATACAAATTGCAATATATCTAAATGTAATGGTGAATTTGAATTTGCTAAATAGCTTAGAAACCCGAGTCTCGTTTCAATGAGATCCTCGGAGATCTTCATTTTTACTACAAAAAAGCAATATTTTCTTCTATTTGATGGCATATGGACGTCTAGCGGCGTGATTTTTAAAATTAATATAATATATGAATTATAAATTGTATTGGAAATTGAATAAATATTTTGAATACTGTCTTGTATAATTACACAGTTATTTATTCTGATGGTGGTTAACGTTAATCCTAAAGGAGATACTTGATAGATTAAGAATTGTTGTTGGTTTACATTGTGTTTTTATCATAATAACTGCGATTGGAATTGGTTTGTATTGATAAATAATCTGTTTCGACAAGATATAATTTTAAGAGGAGTCGAAGTGGACATCAGCGATAACTTTTCCTATAGTATTAGGGTCACGGTGTGGCCTCAGCTTCTAATATATGAAGTGATGACATATAATAGGTTTCTAATTCTAATTGACTAAAACACAATTTAGCAATAAGCCGAATCAGATACATTGTTTGGTAACCAAGGTCTTGATTTTCCTTGGTTTTAGATTTCATATATTCACAATTATGTTCAACATTGTCTAACGTCATGATTTAAAAATTGACCCTATGATTTCGAAATGACATACCGAATTCTGGATATTGCGTTCTGCGAAATATTGGAAAAAACAAAATACGTCATCGGAATGACGATTGCAGTTTCAATACCTGTAGATCCTATCAGCTGATAGACAAACCGATATTTCGAATAAATAATTCAATTCTATTCAATTTATTAACTTCCTAGTATCACATCTCTAAACACTCAGAGGCACATATCGGCTCTAACAGAAGTTAATTTCAAATACATTTACGCAAAGTAATGCAAACCATGTTATATCATAACGTATTTACATTATATTAGAAAAAAACAGCTTTGCGATTCGTGATCATGAGTTTCATTTTAGTATTACTTTTATTCTATAGTGGAGTATCTCTACTTCGATTGAGAAGCAACAGCACTTGTTATCACGTTTGTATAAGGACGACATCTTTATAAACAAGTCTACTTTATTTTTCACAAATTGCCTTTAGTAGCTGAAATCAAAAACGGGAAAGGGTAAGAGAGAGCAGCATGGAAACAATTAGACTGTCCTCATCACTGGTGCTCCACTCGATTACGCTGGGTAACGAAACGTACCGTTTGGTAACAAAATGTCGGAACCTCGAAGGTACGATTTTTCTATTTTCCTCGTTTCAAGCTTTGTAGGTGCATTGTCTTTTAACAATCATATCCCTTTTTCGTTATTATCAAACTGAAAGTCTGAATTACTTTGTATTGAGCATAACAGGCTTCCGACGAGAGTCTTGTGCCAAAAATTAATTGATTTGTTAGTGCATGAACTGCTTATTTTGCCCAAGGTTAAGGACATTCTAAGTTTTGAAATTCAGTAAAACCATTGTTAAATCTTTAAAATAGCACGTTCCAGGCAGGCTACTTTCAAAATAGAAAGTTTAAGCTTCCGTATAAAATCGAAACGCCAACAGATACGTATGACCAATCTCGGCCATGCAATTTATAATGTAACCGATGGTCTCTTGATTAATAGATCAGTCGATGTAACTCTACATTGGCCTATAATTGAAATAGTTTATTTATTTATTTATTTTCGTCTCACAGCAGATTTATTAGAATACTAGAAGTACTAAAATATCATTAAAAACACTGTCCAAGCCAGTGCGGCGTATATTATTAAAAGTATTGCACATATACTTATTTCTAATGCTTATCAATCAATAATTTCTCATTTAGGCTTAATCACTGCCTATATAGCATAAGATACAATGTAGTAATTTCTAGAAAATAAATACATTAATATTTGCTAACTACATAATTGTTGTTTATCACATATTTGTTCGTCTGTGTTTGTACATAAGGAACACAGTTTTAGATATAATAAAAGCCATCTCTGGAGAAGTACTCAGGTATATAAACTGGTTATTTTTACTTTTGTTTAGGAAGTATAATTGAAATAATACACGTTAGTCAATAGTGGTCCTCGTTGGTCGTCTGTCTTGTACTCAGTATGCACTAGCCGGGTTTGTGTCAGGGATCGAAATGTTTTGTTCCGTATATATAGCATCGATAAGTCAATTAATAGTACCCAGTATTACGTACATTGTATAAAGTTTAATCATATTGATTTAGACATACATGTAATTATTTAAAACACAAGAGAATTCCGCTCCATTAACGTAATTGATAAAGCAAACGTAAAACGATATTTCCCATTAATTACTCAATAGCCGTGTTATGCATTTACAAACACTAAGCACAGTCCTGTTGTAAAACTCAATGCTTCACAGATAGCACATGACTAACACATACTTTAGAACCTGCGAGTAGACACAAAACGAACCATTCGCATAAAATGATCCCAAGATTTGCCCTGACCTGCACGCAACATGCCCAAACCTGCACAACATGCCCAAACCTGCACGCATCATGCCCAACCTGCATAACATGCCCAAACCCGCACGCAACATGCCCAAACCTGCATAACATGCCCAAACCTGCACGCAACATGCCCAAACCTGCACAACATGCCCAAACCTGCATAACATGCCCAAACCTGCACGCAACATGCCCAAACCTGCATGCAACATGTCCAAACCCGCACGCAACATGCCCAAACCTGCATAACATGCCCAAACCTGCACGCAACATGCCCAAACCTGCATAACATGCCAAACCTGCACGCAACATGCCCAAACCTGCATAACATGCCCAAACATGCACGCAACATGCCCAAACCTGCATAACATGCCCAAACCTGCACGCAACATGCCCAAACCTGCATAACACGCCAAACCTGCACGCAACATGCCCAAACCTGCATAACATGCCCAAACCTGCACGCAACATGCCCAAACCTGCATAACATGCCCAAACATGCACGCAACATGCCCAAAACTGCATAACATGCCCAAACCTGCACGCAACATGCCCAACCTGCACAACATGCCCAAACCCGCACGCAACATGCCCAAACCTGCATAGCATGCCCAAACCTGCACGCAACATGCCCAAACCTGCATAACATGCCCAAACCTGCACGTAACATGCCCAAACCTGCACAACATGCCCAAACCTTTCCATTTGTCTATCCTTTGCACGGAGCCGAAGAAATGGAATTGTACTTTTGACTTTTTGAGTATCGTGCCAATGGCCCATCTACTGATTATCAAAAGCTTAATACAGGCAAATGAATACGGTTATGAACGAGAAATGGTGACAACAAAATTAGAATAGTACTACTACTTTTGTAAGTCGTATTTGTATACCACTATATGATAATTCGATGACGCATACTAGTCTATTAAAGTATTTGTACGCTGATATGTTTTGTTTCTTAATATACAGGGTGTTCCAAAAGTAACAGGACTGGTGCTGGCATTTTGTCAATTTTGCACTGAGTATCTTCACATTTTCACAAATTGTACTTTGAAGTATTGCAACTTAAATTATAAAGTTTCAAAAAAATGATGAAATGCGGTTAGAGTTATGGTTACTATAGTAACATGCCATTCCAATACCCGGGGCAACTGTTTTCCTGAAAATGTGATATCTAACATTTTTGTATTACTGAATAAAGTATCTAATTCACCTATTATAATACACAATTTCTTGTTTATTTTATTAAGTCCTTTGTTGTAAAGGTGTTGCTATACAACTCAGATTCAAGTATAATTTCATAATGATAATAACATTTATTCAATTTCCTGGAATATCACAGTGTATAACAGTCTAAATAAAGACCCAATTTGAAGCCAGTCATCTACCTTGATAGCGCGCCTGCCCGCAGGTCGGCATTAAAGACCATGCAGCTATAGAGGAACGTATAGGTCTTGAGGTCTAAAACCATGCACCATACTCCTCTGATCATGCAGTATCTGATTTTTATTACTTATATTGAGAACGGAATGCTAATCAGTGCTGTACGACCTTTAAAGATGAGAATGGCCTTCTCCAAATTATTCAATCGACCCTGCGTGACATGCTCTCAAATGGGTTCACTCATGTGTTTGGGTCATGGATACAGAGTTCTACTCTTGTACTGACCAAAGAGGAGCCTATTTTTCAAAGTAGAGGATACATAGAAATATCAAATGACGTAAAACATATGTAATTCCCACCAGTTGTTGCATTTCAACTTTGATATAGCATGCACAAAATGATATGGCATGTACAAAATGCTTATTGTTTCTGTAACTTTTTGCGTGGAATGTTGCCCCGGGTATTGTGATGTCATGTTACTATAGCAACCATAACTCAACCCGAGTTTCATATATTTTGTAGAAACTTTGCAGTCTTAGTAACGATACATCAAAGTACATTATGTAGAATTTTGAAGACGATTGGTGCATATTTAACAAAATGCCAGCACCAGTCCTGTTACTTTTGGAACACCCTGTACATGTATGTGTAACAGGACACTATTAAGTAATTTATATCCGATGCAAAATGTATATTGTGAGTGGATATTTACTAATCT